CTCTCTCTCTCTCTCTCTCTCGGTCTCTCTCTCTCTCTTTTTCTCACTGTCTCTCTTTGTTTATCCCCCATCCCTCTCTATCTATCTCTCGCTCTCACCTTATCTGTCTCTTTCTCTTTTTGTCTCTCGCGCTCGCTCTCTTTTCCTTTATCCTTCTCTTTTTTATTTCTCCCTCTCGCTCTCTCTTTTGGTTAGTGTTTTACGGTGCTCACAATTGCATATTAAGTTCATTACATGAGGGACACATTAAACATTTTCAATGTTTAGGAAATTTTGAATTTTTGCCCGGGTGGTGGCCGAAGCCTACTTCTATCGATTTTGTACCACCAAATGATCTTTAACGTGCGCAGCTTACACACGGGTCCTCAAAATATTTTTCCCTTATCCGAGAAGGATAGATGTTAGATCTTACCTGCCATAAGATCAGGGGTCTGGCCAATAGACAGCGGTGAGAAGGAGCTAAGGAGTACCTAGCAATAGGAACGCTGCAGATAGAGTCAGGAGCCCAGAAGACGGGGTAAAGGAGGTGAGGGGGTGAGGGCAGAAAATGGAGACAAAAACAAACGACAGAACATTGTTAGAGAGCAAGAAAGGAGATGAAAGAAGAACATTTTAGAGAAAAAAAAATCCAGGCTCTGTCTGGATTCGACCCCGGGACTTATTGAATGAGAGGCGAACACGGCAACCTTTCCACCACGAAAATCCCCTCTGTCTTCTAATGTGTGTATGTACGCATCGATAGATAGATACATAGATTAGGACTTATATATACATATAGCAGATTACGTAAAAGTCTCTTCTCTCTCTATCTCTCTATCAATCTCTCTATCAATCTCTCTATCTATCTATCTATCTATCTATCTATCTATCTATCTATCTATCTATCTATCTTTCTACCTATCTATCTATCTATCTTCTACAATTTTCTGTGCCTTTCTTTGATTTTCTATTTACTGCCTACTCACAAATGTCGTAGTATCGTCTAACATCACATGTACGCATGATTTTATTAACTGTATGGTTGCCGTTAAGGTATTAATAACGTGATGAATACGACGTATTCCCAGGCCAACGCACGTTTTACTGATTTTTTGTTGTTGTTGCTATCATTTTCTTTTTCAATAATCTGACCAGTGGTGCAACTCACAATTAGACTCTAATCATATTGAACGATTTCCACATGTAATGCCCCTCCTTATATTCCGTTGGTCTTTTGCGTCTTGACAGACATCTTACGGCATGCCGTATACAGCTTTGTCTGGCAGATAGAGGTAACGTACTAATGTCCTGCTTTCAGATCTTGACTTCCTTAGTAATATGCTCCAAAATGAGAGACACGGTGGATACGTTTGAAAACAAGGAAGGTGTAAGGTTTCTAGCCCTGTGAGGCTAACATTTTCAGTTGGTAGGAAATTTTTGAATTTTGCTCATGTGACAGCCGAAGCCTACTTTTATCGATTTTTGAGCCCCAACGGATCTTTAACGTGCGCAACCTGCACACGGAACCTCCGAGAATTTTTGCTCTTGTCCGAGAAGGCTAGGTGTAGATTTTTTCTACCATAAGATCAGGGGTGTGGCTGAAAAAAAAGAAGTAAGATGGATCCAAGGAGAAGCAGTGGACAGGCTGCAGAAAGACTCAGGAGCCTAGAGGAGGGGGCAAAGGAGGTGAGGGGGGGGGCAGAATGTGGAGACGAAAGTAGACGATAGAATATTGTAAGAGAGCAGGAGAGGAGGTGAAAGAAGACACTTTTGGAAAAGAAAATTTTTCAGCGCTACCGGGATTCGAACCCGGGACCTTTGCATGAGAGGCGAACACCTTAACATCTAGGCCGCAAGAGCCATTTTTGTCCTTACAACTTCGACCCTGAATACCAGGCTCAACTTGGGCTGACACTGATGCAGCATTCAAACAAAAAAAGAAGAAGTACATATTGCAATACCCCACGCGGGAATTGAAACCAGTCGCTTTGCATGAAAGGCGAAGCGTTTTTATCTACCTTTTTAAGTTTCATCATTAATATATTTTGCCCTCCGGTACATAGCAGTTTTTGGTAAGTCGAAAAGGCAAGCAGGGTAAAATGCCATCACACCATGATATATTAGTTGGGAAAAAAACTTCCAAATGAGACCCAGCTTAATGTTATCTGCACGTAATTCTAAGCACTTGTGATTTCCCTGGCGGTGTGCAGATGTGCGTGTTTACGTCTCTTCTTTTGGTGATTGTCTGTTGTCTTTTCAAAGTCTTTATTTTGCAGAATTACTTTATTTATCTACATAGATGTCGGTTACGTATTGTCCATGTGTTTCATATCTGAAAAGCTTCAAAGCACGAGATGCTGTCTCTATAATGTTTGCTTGTCACAAAAATTTGTTAAAACGTTTCTTTCCTCTATTCACAGCACATGCCTACAAACGTCACGCAAACTCACGCTTACGCTCACACACACACACACACACACACACACACACACACACACACACACACACACACACACACACACACACACACATACGCAAACGCAAACACACACAACACACACACACACAAGCACAAGTACACACACACTTACTTTCTCAAGCACATAGTCACATAGAAGGTACAGAGGAAAATAATCACATACATAATTTGCACTTTTCCAGAAACGTGTTTTTTATGAAGGTCCACGTTACAGTGTGCGTCATGTAGTTGTTGAACTTATATCGTCACCTAATTTACAAAAAGAGCTTCTTTGTTCCCGGCCGTTTTGGGAATATTTTCTAGAGACAGCAGGACCATACACACCTTTCACTTGTTCTACCAGTATTTACCTTTCAGAAATAAAGGGAGCATTTTTTTTTTTAAGAAAGAAAAGAAGAAAAAATTAAGGAACATTACGCCGAAGGCGCACTCTGAGAACATAATTCAGTAGCATAAAGATAACTGTGTTTGCTACTCCGGTGGCCCCCCACGCGACCGACGCCAATCATCATTTTGCGCTTTGTTTGTTATCATCGGGACCGAACTGAAAATTCCTAACTCAAGCTTTCAAATACAAAGCTAGCCCATTACTCGATGGCATTGATAGATGGGATCTGATGTCTAGTTAATCGTGAGAGGCATTGTTTAGCAGAACAAGACTTGCTGAATAAAGACATCTGTGAGATCGCATCCCTCTCCTGCGCCTTCGTACGTAATATTTCCAGAGCGCCATTGTACCCCTCCATATCGCTTTTAAACTGATGAATGATTTTGGAGAATCTTCTGTTCATAGCCTCGAGTTTCGCTTGCTCATCATATCAATCACTCGTTGCCTGTCTTTTAAAATATCTCCCTATGGCAGATGCATAATAAAGCTAATACTGAAAAAAACATAATATATTGCTATACATATCATTATCTGAATGGGGACACTGCAATTCACCATTGACTTTAATTCTCTCCAAGATAAAATTCACATTTGCCTTATACGTATTTCAATATATACATTGTAAACATTTCTTGATTTGAGCAACGGCCGCACCGAATGACCTGAATAGTAACATTTATGTTACGTCATTTGTATGCCTCATTATCGAAATGATCTGCTGTCTTGTCTAAAGCTCATAAGGTAAACCGTAAAAGCGCGGTATTCTGACATGGTTTGATTTGGCTCTTTGGTCTGTATGCAATAAATGACATTAGATTTTTCATCAAATATAGTGGGTCTTTTTATGGGGAGGTACTATTGGAGACCAGCCATGTTAGGACAGCCGGCGTCGTTATTTCAAAGCGCAGGGAATGTCTATAAACTATAAGCGTTGTTATCAAAAGAAAGTATTGTTCATTTTGAAAGGCAGCTTCTGGTAGGAACAGTTGCGTAAAAAAGTCTTGGTGTACAACACTCTGTGCTTTCATCGCAATGTTACTAATAGATGCCGATTTGACGCCACGACAGTCGTTTCAAGTGGACTGTTTTCTGATGTCATAAAGTTTTTAATTAATTTTTTTATTATCAATTGTTGTTTTTTAAGATGTACCTGGACGAG